GATCGGTGTTGAGTTATTTCTTCTATTTTGTTAAAGTGAACATTGCGTGAATATCTTGCGGTGGTACTTTGAGTAATTACTTGTCGGTTGTAAATATTACATTTGTCGTCATTTTATTGTTACATAGATCAAATATTTTCACTGGGTTTCTTCGATACGGAACTCTACCGAAAATCCTTTGGAATTTATACCGTGTCCCCTATTTACCACCATTGCTTCGAATTAATGTCTTCTCGTGAAAAATTCAGAAGCTACCCACTTCTAGAGCATTATACCGTAAATCGATGACACCGTAAATGATTTCGCGAAAGAGAAACTAGGATAAAATACGAACGGCTTTCGAACCGTTCTAGCGGTGTTCGATTCCACTCGAAAAGTTGAAATTGGCACGAAATTTCTTTGCCTGTAAACTTTTGAAAACGGAAAAAAACACCTCCTCCATCGAAGGCCGAGTTAATTAAACGAAGGCGAAATTTCGGTGAAAGACGAAAAAAGGAGAACGAAGCAGGAATCCGATAAGGATCGCTCGACGCTGCGGCGAGGAATACTCGATTCGTGATTAATTCCGATTAACCGAAGTGAAATCGAAAATTCGCCGAAATGTACCGCGAAGTTGATTCGATTTGCAGCCGAGCAACACGCTGGGTCCGTGTGAAATTCGCTCAAAGCAGTCGCGTTGTCGATCAAACGGAAAAAAAGAAGGAAAACAGGAACGCTCGATCTCGTGACGAGCATTCGAACGCGTCAGGCATATTTCAATCGCGGAGAAAGAACCGGAAAAAGGAAAGAAGAGGTCCGCGAGCATGACTGTATTTTCGCTCGCTGACGATATCCAACGGCGCAGCTTTTTCGAATGGAACGAAAATTAATCGTATTTACGGGTAGCCGCATCCGTCATAAATAATGCACGCTCGGAATTCGCGGTTGTCCAATTTATGCGGAGGGAAACGAGAAGTCCTTGCGTTCCAACGAAATCGATCCTGATAAGTTTCCCGTTTTTCCGCGGTGATCCATCATGGCATCCATGTTTGCTTCGCCAACGGGGTCGCCAAATCGCGAGTCACTTTTGCTCTAGAATTTGGGACGCACGTGCTCGGTTTGTTTCTTCCTGTTCAGAGCTGAACGGATGAGATGCTATTTTAGCCTCTTTGATTCTCTACTTGTAGATGACTCTTTTGGACTTCCTCGCTGGGTCTGAATTTATTTTATGAAGAAAGAGATCCATAATATGTTGATAACGAATACATTCATTAAACATTTTGGTTATTTTTATTCCAAAATATTATTTAAAGGTATAAGATGATTTTTTGGTTACAAAATATGATGATCAAGTAAAGTCTTGTGAACGGTAGTTGTATACGTCTGACTATTCGACGACTCGTTCCACTGGCCTCGATCTGTCTTCGTATTATCGAGTACTTTCGTCAATAGCTGACCATCTACGGTCGTAAGGTTAGAAACTCGCAAGGTCATAGATTATCCGAGAGCGGATACCGAGCCATATCACGCTAGCCTTGAGAGACGTATTTCAAGAACGTGACCGATCGAACTTGAGAGATCTAGACGTACTTCAAATTCCGAACGAAAGTGATATGATTGCAGCCGTAAGTGGTTTGAAATTCAACATAAACAGCTTCCGGTCATCTATCAAGGTGCAAACACCCTAAACCATCGCAGAGTCAACAGATCAGGCACTTTACTTCCCCTAAATTTCGCGTCGAAGGGAGCAGTAACAAATATTAACGGAGAATAAATTTAACGAGTCGCTCCAATAACATGAATTATTGGTAACCTTTCTTTTTTTGAATTCGCGTCGTTTTTCATTTCGTGGTCCGATCAAAACGCATTTCGTTTTCTGCGCGAGACTTAGAGCGTCGTTGAATCGAAGCTAAATCGGTGAAAAAATGACTGGGAATAAAAAGAAAACACCATGGCTAGAAACGTTTTCAATCTGGCGTTTAAACGAGCGAAAAAATAACGCGTGTTCACGGTTTTCGTACCGGTTGAAATATTCATGGATGAACGCACGCGAGATACGATGACGTTAACAGGAAAAACCGTTTCGAATGAAAAGCTGACTTCGTTGAAGCGATCGTTTAAATACCATAGAACGTAAATCTTGCAGGCTTCGGAGCATCAAATAACTCCTGCATCCACCGAGCAAAGATAAACACGCGAACCTTTTCAGTCTCGTTATTAATATTTTGTTAATAAACATTGCCCGGTCTCGTTTTAACCGATCATCAAAGGCTATCGTCGCTAAGTTGGAATTTAATTACGAACCGATCGATCGTTCGATAAAATTTCACGGGCCTTCATTAATTTTCGAATTAACCCCGTGAACGATAAGTAACGTGTATCAATTTCACGTTCCGATGCATTGGATCGGCTCGTTTGATCTCCGTCTGAGCGGGTTGTTTAAAAAGAAAATTGGAACGCTGCGAAAATTCACTGAATTTTATAATATCGGCTGCGAGAAAGGATTTAGAAATAATAATTCAATTTTTATGGCGGAAAACGAAGAATATCGGTGAATGCAGCTCCCGAATGACCCTTAATCGTGTAAGGGCAAAAGGAATCGAACTGCATAAGATTATTGGCGCGCGACGATCCGTGGTTCTCCTAAAATGATTATGATCATCGTTTAGCATAAATTTTCGGCTTTCTTTTATACTCGCCCTGCCTGTGCCACTTTTTTCACCTCTTTAACTACGCTCGATCGATTCTTAAAACTTTTACATTCACGGGTGGCCCGACGATCGAGGACCGGGAAGATTTTTATCGGAAACTGCTGACTCCGGTGAATCGTTGATTACCGCTTTCACCAACATTTTGCAACTTTCCATGCCGTAATCGACCCCATCGAAATGGAAAAATTCGTTCGACTCACGAACAAGTTTTCGAAAGAGAAAGATTCTCCACGCGAAAGTGGAATATTAACATTCATGCTACTTCCACGATGTCTCAACTTTTGATTGCCTTCGATTCTAACGACGATTATTTACTTCTGCGCTTCCTCCAAGCATAAATAATGTCTACGTGTTTCAAATCAAGTCGTAAAACTCTCGACAAATACGCTTATTAATATCGTTCTCGTGTAACAGTTTTTTAAATGATCCATCAGATTGTCGCGCATATTTTGCATAATTTAATGCGTCGGAATTGCATAAACATTCACGGTGGGGCGATAACATTTTTCCTGTGTTCACATTCCCATTATTTATCGAGTCATAAATTGAATTTATTCGCGGTCTTTCTACGCGGAACACGCACACCCTGCCACGGTTGTTCGCTCAACAACGATCGTTGATTATGATAAATGGACGTCGTTCGAAAGGAACAAACGCTGGCAGTTGGAATGTTAACGAGCGAACGGAGAATTAAGATAGCAGCCAGTTTCCTGGACAGAGGGTGAGAACGCGGGGGTGGCGGATTCAACCCTCGCCGGCAGATAGGCATCTCACAGATACCAGCCACGAAGGAAACACCTTGATGTCTGTGTCCCCGAGCCTCGTTTTGATCGATTGTCACGAGCACGCCAGGTCGACCTCCCGAGAACAGACATCCACTACGTTTTCGTGCCGGCTGTTCTAATCGCGACCGGTATATTTATTGGTCGGTTGTTATTGCGGAAACGACTATTTGTCATGGGCCGGTATTAATTACACCGGGACCCCTTTGTACCGATAACAGAGGCAAAGGGGCCACGACAACGTCGTCGTCGACGGAGACGCGGGACAACCTGTTTGAATAGAAATTCGCCTACGAAGTGGGAACCGAGACTCCGCCAACTTCCGAAATTAATTGTTACTGTCCTGTTACGTGCGTGCCTTAGGGACACGTGAGTATCTTTAATCGAAAATACGGGAGTGAGTTACGGGTCCCTTTGGCATATACAATAATTCCAACAGACGAAGAGTTGCTTGGTTACGATCTCGGAAACTGTCGAGATAATAATTCTTTGTACTTTCTTGTAAAGTGTACGGTGCAGCAGCACGCGACGGTTACAACAATCGAGATCGTGATAGCAACGCGTGAAAATACCACGCTTGAAAGTACAGTGCGTGGAAAAGCAGCGCGTGGGAATATGGTGAGTAGAAATATAGCGCACGGTAACACAACGCGTGGAGATAAAGGTGCATGGAAATACGGGGCGTGAAAATACCACACCTTAAAGTACAGTGCGTGGAGATATAGAGCGTGAATGCTGGACGCGTGAAAATATGACGAGTGGAAAAACAGCGCGTGGGAATATAGTGTGCAGAAATATAGCACGTGGTAATACAACGCGTGGAAATAAAGGTGCGTGAAAATACCACGCCTGAAAGTACAGTGCGTGGAGATATAGAGCGTGAATACTGAACGCGTGAAAATATGACGAGTGGAAAAGCAGCGCGTGGAAATTTGGTGAGTAGAAATATAGCACATGGTAACACAACGCGTGGAGATAAAGGTGCATGGAAATACGGGGCGTGAAAATACCACACCTTAAAGTACAGTGCGTGGAGATATAGAGCGTGAATACTGGACGCGTGAAAATATGACGGGTGGAAAAGCAGCCCGGAATATGGTGTGTAGAAATATAGCCCGTGATAATACAACGCGTGGAAATAAAAGTGCATAGAAATACGGAGCGTGGAAATAATGGAGCGTAAAAATACGATGAGTGAAACTGCGATACAGCAATATAACTTCTACCTTCATCAAATATCGAAAGCAAATTGAGACTGCAACTTCCCAATCTTTTGCGATATAAGACAAGAAGCTTCAAAATTTTGCAAGAGTGTTGTAAATCGTTACAGAGGTTAATATAGTACTAACAGAATGATGGTTTCCAGCCTGAAGATATTTTTTACGCGTTGCTTTAAAACGAAACTTTTCATATCGGTTGTAAAACCGTTGATGGTTATGCGAACGAAACTCGTTACTTCGGCAACGCATTTTTTTGAACGACGCGTCGTCTCGAAGACCGCTTTCGGTAACAAATTACATTGGCTTACCACTTTATCTCCCAAATTTCGTACACGGCACGGTAGATAGACGGTCTGTCCGACGAATGCGCTGACGTTAGCCGCTGTCGGCTCAAAAACCGGCAAATCGCCCTCGACTGCATCGTTATTGGCATCGTTTGGTCGACGTTCGTTGTTCTCCTTCGATATTTCACGAAGTTGCACTGGAGCTGCAAACAAAACAACGTGTTCACAGAATTATGTTTCACCGATAGTATATTCCGTATTCGTAATAGCTTCGAGCGGAAGCTGTATCGATCGATGTAACTTCCTACCAAACGAGAAAATCGGAGGCTGTTTAACGTTAACGCGATCCTCGATGGGTATCTTTAGAGAACATGCGATATCATTATTCGAATTTTAATAAAATTGTAATAAATAATCATTCTCTTGTTAAGGGTATTGCGTATGCGGAGGTTTCGTATCGGAGTCATTGTATCGAATTACGAACGTACGTTCGCATCATAATTTTAAAATTGCAGGTGAATTTACCATGAACACGGTTCGTGGTTAATTAATTCCGTGTAAAAATTTCGGTGTTCGTTTGGAATTACAGTATCATTGTTCCGAATGAAACCTTGCGAAATATCATTGTTTTGTTCTCTAACTAAATTTTGTGCACGAATATGTTCACATCCAGAATCAGCATTATCATATTCCTTATTGAAAATTATCAACGATAATTTCCGATACTTTGAAGGTTTATATCTGTCAGTCAAAATTAATTAAACTATTACTATATTAATTTAATGCTTCATTTCAAAATATGCTAATTCAAATCCATTAAGAGGATAATATTCCGAAACAGCTTTTACTACAATTGTTTTGTACAAAGGAACCGTATGATCATATTTATTAAACTTGTAACTCTAAATTTACATAGCATATATGCTTTTCCTCTACTTTTATGCCATGAAACTGTCCCTGACTTTCCATGTTTGAGAGTCAACCTAACGATAAGGAAACTCTGGATAGAGAGCTGAAACGTCGGACATTGTGTCCTCGGGGAATAGAACAGAATTTCTGGTTTCGAGCGTCTCATCCACGATCAGATATCAGAATCTAAATGTATTACACTGGCAAACAGTAAACTGCGACCGGTTGAGTAAACTGGATTCGTTTCTTAAGCGGATACCCGATTATGCAACGCTTGTGTAGCGACCTTTCCCCACGGACGAAGCGGAGAATCCACCTGACTGAACAGTTTACTCCGATTCTTAGCCGGGTTAAGCAGTATTTTTTGCCCAGAGCTTTCGTTAATCTCGTAATTCCTTCAAACTGGTTCGCGTGCACGACATTTCCGCGAACGAAGGAATTTTTGCCAGGTGGAAAGAGCTGTGCCAGTTTTCTTGAGATTTCTCGTTCGTCCGTGAAGATGGTTTGCAAAATTCTAGCAGACGGTTGAGGTTTGCCGAAGATAACGAACACAAAATCTTGTTTGCTCGGTAAACGCTCCAATTCTCCAGGTTTAATCCTTTACATTTTGTAATCGAGTTAGCCATTATAAATAACGTAGGTGTTACCGAGCCGAATAATTCTGTTAGCAATGATTTTCGATTTACAGCGAGTTTGATGAATTATTCAAGCTACGTTCGAGAGCGGGGATAAAATTGATATCGAACAATAAAGTATCGACGAATCGTGTAAAAATAATGCGCGATTTAACTCTCGGATGCAAAAGATTAATCTCCATGAAGAGGTTGAACCTTCACCCCCTAAATGTTGGTTCGGTGTTGGCTTCTCCATTTCTCGTTCGACTTCTTCCCCTTTTCTGCACGAATACTCGAACACGTGTTACCGTAATCTGGAGTTCCTCGAATACACTCGACCAGTCGAATAGCCACGAGTCTATTCAGACCGCACCCTCGTTAGTGTACCTTCGAACAGTCGCTCCGTCATTATCAATCACCGTCAGCCCTACGCGACGATACCATTGACATCCGACAGGGATTGATCCGCGAGGAAAGTTAGCAATAAAAGCTCTGTTGGCCGCAACTTCGCTAATACACCGTCGAGGATTGAGACCGCACGAAAATGTGACCGAAAGTTCCGCGGCGAAACGATGAAAATACAGGAACGTGAAAAGTTTCGCGTATCCGTCAGCTTTTCGAAGATACGAAAAAACAGAGGCGGGTCGAGATCGCGCAAACGGGCATACGCACGAGCGTTTATATTTGCGGAATGAAAAGAGGAATTTGATTCGTTCAGATTGGATCATTCCCTGTAGCGAATCGTATCAGTCAACGGTGATTCGAACCAGACGAGTCACGGGCTTTCGAAAGCGACAAAAAGAAGTCTTTGAAAAGGCGAGAGAAAAGAGGAATTGATAACTGCATTCCGCCGTGCCGCTCCGTCCATCTCCGCATTCGGTTTTTTCCTCCGGGCCGAAAACACAGCCGGATAAATTTAATTGGATCGTAGCCGAGTGTGTAGTTGGTACACGGAGAGAAAGAAACGGCTAGCTCCGGGTGCGAAAGTGCTATCGAATTATCAAATGAAACCAACCAGAACGAGCCGCTGACATCGTAACTCGCCGGTGCTGACCGTTTCGCATAAACAACATTCTACCCAAACGCGCTTACGTCCCCTCTTTCCGTCCACGTTCGTTTCCACCCCCGCCGACTGTTTGGATCTCGCGTTAACGTGTCATAGCTCGTTCGCCCCTACGCCCTGAAACCCTACAGGGCGAGGTCAGATAACGCCCGCATACACAGCAACACGTTGGCATCATACAAATGACCAACTTCCCCTCGACGGCGTTCCAACGTCGAGCAAAACCACCCCCACTGATAACTCCAGATTAATTGACAAAAAGCAGAGCTCGCGAATATGGATGATATACGCTGGCCGAAAGTCTCGTCAAAGGAACGACGACTGTTAGAACGCCTTTTTACTTGAACTTCTCCGCGATAAACATTTTAACGACGAGAGAGATGATGCGATAATGCAAGTTTTATTACACCGCTTAAAAAGAAAAAGAAACGTACAACAAACGCGAAGTGTAATTTAATTTTCTTCGCATACCCATATCATTTTAATTAGTGTTCTTAAATGACTCGTTACAAAACGCAGTAGAACGTGCAAGCCGCTTTGTTTCGACCGCATCGTCTACGATCCTCTATGTCTGACCAAGCACGGTCCGTTTCTACTTTTTCCATCCGGCAACGGTCTCGCTCGTAGCAAAAAGAGAGAAGAAAAAGACGTCTGCAGACGACTCATTCGTTCGCCACTTTTTTTTCTACCCTCAGGGCTGTTTTCTCCCTCTACCGCCGCTTTATAATATTATAAACCGCACGCAGAGGCAAACCGTAAACCGGCTATGTTTTCTTTCTGTCATTTCCTAGGCTGCGAAGCCGCGAGCTATTTTCCTTTGGACGATCGTCAGAACATTTTATGGGCGGCATCGAGGGAGCATCTTTTTCTCTTTTACCCCTCGGTTTTCTACCTTTTAGAGTTGAGCAGTTCACCGCTTCGCGTGTTCGTTGAATTTCGTTCCCCATCGGCAGCGAGCTAGACGAATTATATCGTCAACGGGGGGAGCCCCGGGCTTATTACGCGAGTTATTAAACCACAATGAGGGTGCACCGTATGAACGCGAACACACTTTTCAAAATGTCCTGAAAAATTTTGCCTCCGTTCATTTGCAACTTCTCTTCAATGTTTTCTATGCTAATTATACTCCCCGAATAATTCGATGGTAATGGATTTCGAATTCTTGCAAAATTAAATGCCGATAAACAGAGAAAATGAAAATACAAAATTTATTAAAGAGAACACTGCGCGAGAGCCGCGCGCTGACCTCCGTGATATTTAACTCGTTATTTTAATTGCTTTTACTAGTTCCTTGTAGTTCGTTTTATGTAATGGAGTCTCGTTTCAGAGAACAGATTCGTCGAGGAAGTATATTTTAAAACTGCACAGAATAAAGAGAAGGAACGTCAGTTTAACGTCGCCATGGTACGCGATAAAACTTCATCTTGCAAAAACTGCTCGTTTCGTTGTCCGCGGCGTACAGGATCTGATAGAAGGAAGACGCTCCGTGAATTCTCTTCTCAATGTTCGATAAGCGGACCGCGTGCAGGAATACAAATATCGTTTTCGAATGGGGCGGTGACAACGGGAACAACGACTCCTATGTACGTCGATATTAAAGCGAATTACTACGTGCTAAATCCTCACCGTGCTACGCTATCTTTCGTAGGCACTCCACGAAACCTCCTTCTATTACGACCCGTTTTTCCCCACTAACGACACTTTTATTTCTCCCAAAAGTATTACTTGGTTACGTCTTCCATGATATCGCGATTGCTTAAGAAATTCCTGTCCAGAAATATGAGTTATCTAGTCGATTCGATGAAAACGTATTGTTCACATTAGTCTACGGGAAAATACAGCGTGGACGTACGGCGAGAAGAAATACGGCGCATGGAGATAACGATCCGTGGAAATATGGCGCGTGGATGTACAGCGCGTGAAGGTGCGGAGAAATTTGACACGCGGAAATTCGATGCGTGGAAACTCAACGCGTACAAGTGCGATGCGTAGAAACACAGCGGTTGGAAATTCGGTACGAGGAAATACGATGCTCTGAGATGTAACATGTAACGATACGTGTCCCGAAGCCATCGACTTTCGTGCAACTTTAATTCGAGTTCGCGGAATCGTGAATTACGGTTCGAAGAAATGATCGACCATTCGAAGAACAGAATATCGAACGTACAAAACGTCATAGACGTGTAGAGTATCGTCAGTGTAAAACTACAAAGCAAACTGGCCGTTAATCTTATGTCTGCCTGGAATCGTGCGGCGGTCTACCGCTCTTAAACCAGAGACCATTCCTAGCCTCTCTTCTCTTCCGTCCGCTCGAAACAATGAGAACGAAACTTTACGGTCGCCACCGGGAGAATCATATATTTTCGCCGCAAAGCTCGTAAAGTGCGGTCGCTCTTTCAGTCGACGCGGTGCATCGCTGGCCAGGTTGCGTGTGCACGCGACAATGCCGTGTCAACGTGTCACTATCTATCGCTTCAATATGGTCCATGCAATATTTGTAAAAATAGAAATGCATATTCCCCATCAATTTTACCGAAATGCACATCCAATGTGACATAACGTATCGATACCGTTAGCAGCGAATCTCAAATTGTCTAAATGGACAGATGCAGAAATA